TAAAACTATGAAAGATAGCCTGAAAAAAATCTTTAATCCTGGGACTGGAGAGTACACCTACTCCTCACTTAATCAACTATCTTATTATCTGACATTTCACATTTTTAACAACAGTAAAATATCTTCTGTCCTACTCTTTCACACATTAACAGCATACATCAGGCAGTAACGAACAATGTGCTGAGGTGATAGTAGCACTGACTATGATGCTTAAAATTATGTGTCAACTTGGCCATGATTCTCAGTGGTTTGACAGTTATGTAATGATGTAATGTGGCAGGTGTGTTTTGACATAATTTAGCAGTTATGTAATGATCTAGTCCATTTGCTGATCTGATCCTCCATTTTTGCATAATTCCTATTTTTGCAAAAAAATCTTAATGAGTGTACAAATTGTGAAGAGTTAAGTTACTCTTATTAAATAGTAGCTGGTTGCTGGATTTTCCAGTTTCATAGACCACAAAACTGTGTAGTCTTTGGTAATTTATTTCTCCAACACCAATGAAAGGAACAGCATTATAATTGGTATAAAATAACAGAACTGTTATTTCAACTCAAAATGGCTAGCAGCAGTTACTGTGGTGTAATATGATGTGCTTAGCATGACAGAAAAAATGTGTAATTAGTTTCTAGTGAACATTCCCCTACTTCAGCCTTGGTGAACATGGCAATAGTAGAATCCCCCCTTCAGAGAATCCTGGAAGTGCTTAATAAAGGATAATGCTGAGTAGTGTCTATTTTACAATGTAGAAGAACGTGGAACTCTAATGGGTCCGAATGTGTTGTGACACTTTTTATTTCATTTGTCAATTAAAGAAAATAATAATAACTTTTGTTTGTTTTTAAACCAACAGGAGTGAAACCTCGGTCTGGTTGGGCTATTGACCCTTTTGGACATTCATCAACAATGGCTTATCTTCTAAAACGTGCTGGATTTTCTCACATGCTTATCCAAAGAGTTCACTATGCAATTAAAAAGCATTTTGCATTGCATAAGAACCTGGAATTTTTTTGGAGACAGAATTGGGGTATGCAGGGTTTGGTTGAAGTTGAACTTCTCACTTGACATAGATGTTATTTTACAAAGCTTATGAACTCGTGACATTATGGGTTTTATTTACAGTGTCAGTCTTAAAAATCAAGTTGCCTGAAATATTGTTGTTAGGTGGTGTCAAGTTGATTCCAACTCATAGTGGCCCCATGTGACATGGTAGATTGCCCCATACTATTTTCTAGGATGCAGTGTTTGTGGAAGCATATCACATGGTCTTGCCCTCACTGGGTGAGTTTGAACCGCTAGCCTTTTGGTTAGCACCCAAGCACTTAGCCATTGTAATACCAGATATACACTTATAATTATTTTTCCAGTATTTACATATGTCAAGATTCTTCTAAGCAATGATGATCATATTTATCTATAGACTATAGAAGATTCTTCTTTATGTCTGAAGTAAGTAAGTAAACGTAGGGCATTTATATTTTACAGATAATGTTTTCATTTGCTTCTATTTTATAAAGCACATGCTTTATCACGAAATTGAGCATGCAGTTGAACATGACTGATATCCAGTCATTATCTCATATTCTGTCAGAGTTCCTTCCTTCTGTCTCATCTCTGCATCTTATAGGAATTGCCTTTGAAAATCATAATTATGTTCTCCTAGATCAGCCTTCATGTTACTATATCACTTATTTCCACACTGTGCTCTATGAGCACCCAGGTGTTCCAAGTACATACCCCTGCAGCTCTTCCATGAGGAGAGGAGAGAAGATTAAACATTATGATTAAACTTTGCCTTTCCCAACCCTCATTTGTTTAAGAATATTTATTAAGTCCTTACTTTGAGTTATGCATTGTATTATATGCTTCATGCCTACTCTCATTTAATCTTCCAATAATCCTTTAAATTAGGCTCTATTGTCATCCCTTTACAAAAATAAAGAAATGGAAGTGTAGATAAGTGAAGCTGTTTGCCAAAAGTAACACAATCAGTAAGTACTGAGCAGAGATTTGAATCCAATTCTGTGCAGTTCCAACATCCAGGGTCCTAAACCCTGGCATGCACTGCCTTCCCAAGTTCTCAATAAGATATCATCTGATATAAGGAATTTGTTACTGAAACAGTTTGGATCTACATCATACTGGCTTTCTTCTGTTATTTAGAACTTCTTAACGTTTCAGAAAAGTCATTTGTAATTCCGGAGAATAACTTTCTTATGTACTGCTGTTTTTTCAATAAGGAAAGCAATTAGCAACATCATTTTTTATTCTGAAAATTTAAACCTGTAGGGAAAACAAGAACCTGTTGGGGGTTTAGTCTTTGTTAGAGGAGCATATTAATTTAAAAGTAGAGAAAGGATTGTTAATTTGAAGAAGCCCTCCTTAAATTAATGCCTACATTCAAATTGCCCATAAGTATCAGTTCATGAGCAAGAAATTATTGAGCTCTATTATGTACTTAAAGGTCCTTTCATGGTGCAATGGTTAAAGCATTTGACTGCTAACCAAAAGGTTGTTCGTTTGAACCCATCTGCTGCTCCATGGGAGAAAGATGAGGCAGTCTGCTTCCATAAAGATTTACAGCCTTATAAACCCTATGGGCAATTCTACAATGTCCTTTAGGGTCACTATGGCAGTGGGTTTGTTTTTTAGGTTATTATGTACTTATATACTGTGCTAGGAAGAAATACAGAAAACAGCCTTGCCTCTAAGGAAACTATAGTCTAATTTGAGAAAAATCACACATAAACAAATCCAGGAAATAAAATGAAATGTGTAAATGAACTGCTAAATAGTGTGGTGAGAGGAGAAAGTAGTGGAGTATTGAGTATGTCTTTGATGCAGAGAAAGGAGGAGGAAAGTTGTTTTTAGCTCTGGGACTTGTGGCAGCCTCTATGTAGATAGCAAGCCTTCGTGACCAGTATTCATGGTGTCACACTTGGTTGTGACACTAAGTTACCTGACTTAGTGGGTGAAACAACTGATAGGTACGGAAGTACACAGATTATAATAGTTTTAGAATTTGGAAAAGAATTGGTAATTATTTTTAGTAACTGGATTATAAGGTAAAACTAGACTGTTTTAGAACTTCCTGATTGATATGAACATGCTGCTTTAAAATATTGTTACAGGATTAAGTTAGGCTTCTATGTATGTGTTCTGGTTCTTAATGATTTTTTTCCTTTATCTATCTGCCTCAATTATGAAAGCAATACATACTCATTGCTGAAAAATGAAAATCCAAACATAAATGAAATGGGAGGGAGATAGTTAAAGCCCAGGATCCAACTCACAAAAATAACCATTGTTAATTAGTTGTTGTTAGTTTGCCAGCTCACTTGATGGTTGGCTTCTGACCTCTTTGGGGCATGATGTCAACACATGCCAGCATCTGGATTTTAATTAAAAACTATTCTACAGCAGGACTCAATGATTATTTTCCATATCTTCTTTTTTTTTGCTTTGTTTTTAGTTTTGCAAATTTCCTTTTATTTTCCTCTGTTCCTTTCTTGGTGAAAAGCCCCATAGGCTCTTTATTGGTGAACACGAGGAGAGGCGTCATTAACTCTCCTATGCTGTATTTTCTTCTTACTGCAAAAGGAGAAGGGGTTTCTCTACTATATTCATGAGCCACTTTGTTCTTCCTGCTCTCCTTTGTGCTTCCCTCTTTTCTTCTCCCCAAGCCTCTGCCAGTAATGCAATTCTCATTCTCAGTGTGATCTGCTACCTAAAGGGGAACAGATTAGCAGGTGCTGGCAACCAGGGATGGACATGGTCATGGTTTTGCATGAGCCTGTTGTAACTTTTGCTTCTGCTCAGTTTGTATCCTTTCTAGGTCAGCAGATGCTGGTTCATGTAGGGGTTTTTCTGTCTCTGCTATGTTTAGATCGTAGAGATCGATAGAGACTGAGATGTGCAAAATACCTTAGTTCAGAGTAGAGGCCATTTAATGCTACTGGTGTGTGCTTCTGCTGTTAGGTGCCCTCCAGTCAGTCTAACTCACAGTGACTCTGTAGTGACTCAGAGTAGAACTGCCTCATATTATTTCTAGGCCATGTTTACAGAGGCAGATCACCAGGTCTTTATGCCATGAATTGGCTGGGTAGGTTGGAATAACCAGCTTTTAGTTCAGTAGCTGATCGTTTAATCTCCAGGGCACCTGAAGCTGTTAATTTGAGATATAGCTTTATATGTAAGTATATAATGCTTGTCTGTTGACTCTTTATTTCAGATGTGGGGTCTGTCACAGATATTTTTTGCCATATGATGCCCTTCTACAGCTATGACATCCCTCACACTTGTGGACCTGATCCTAAAATATGCTGTCAATTTGATTTTAAACGGCTTCCTGGAGGCAGAGTTGGTTGTCCCTGGGGAATCCCCCCAGAAACAATATATCTTGGAAATGTCCAGAACAGGTATAGATATATGCATTTCCTAAAACAATATCTTGGCCAAAGTAGCTGCTCAGCTGCTGGTTGCTAAAGAGTTGAATAAATGGGTTGCAGTAGCCAACATTATGCTTATTCAAGGTATTCATTCAAACCAGATCTAAAGCACCTTAAAAATACCAGAACCTTGACTATACCTCTTATATTTTATAATTTAATGGAAAGTGAACAAAAGTAGATCAATATATAACGGATAACCTATAATACACTATTATTACCATCTCCTTTCCCCTCACTATAAAAGCCTTCTGCTGAGTTTGATTGATTTCATATACTTTTGTTGATAATAAAACTTCTGGTTCCTATTGTACAAATTGGTAAGAAAAGCAACTCAAGTGCAAAAACACATTTATTGAAATGGAACGCATAAAGAGTGTAATTATCTGTTCCCTTAATAACAGTTTCAGTAATAGTGAATGCCACCCAGCTCTGATGAATACACATTTTTGCATCTTTCTGATGTTTTTGACTTATAGAAAACTTCAATTAGGAATATTTAAGGGCATTTAAATAAAAATTAAAGAAATGTGTCATTTTTTAGAAGAAAATTGTGCCAATGATGGAAGCATCTCATTAAACCATGTTGTGTGTTACCTAGAGTTTCTAGGTTTGGTGCTTTTAAAGTTTAATTTCTTCACTTAAAAATTGGTGGTGTATAATGCAGTAAAACCAAATTATGTTATAATATAGAAACAACTCTGCTAGAAAAGAATAGAGCCTTTAAAAAAAAAATAAAATTCTTCAAGAAATTTGTGTGAGGAGGAAGGTAAGTAGTCCTTGTGGCTGGAAAGAAAATATTCCAGTGTGAGCCTCTCACTGTCACAGTCTTAGAAGTGTTTCAGCCTGGTAACCCGCTGGAAGCCTGAGCCCCTTCTGTCAACATGTGACTTTCCTAGGTATTTTGAAAAGCTCTGCCCAGGTTAGGGGGCAACCTAGGATAATTTCCTTGGTGCCTACAGCTGTGAGAGCCAGTGAGGAGTAAGGAACAGCCTGCTTTCTAGGGTTACCAAGAATTGCTAGTTAGGCATGAGAGAAAAAGCAAGTACATTATGTGAATTGTAGAGTAAAGGGGGGAGCTCTGGTGGCATAGGCACTTGACTGCTAATCAGAAGGCTGGTGGTTCAAACCCACTAGCCACTCCTCAGAGGAAGGTTCAGCAATCTACTTCCATAGTGATACTGCCACAGAAACCCAAGGAGGGATCGCTATGAGTCGGATCTGACTCCACGGCAGTGAGTTTGGTTTTTTTGGTTTTAGAGTAAAGGTGGGGGAGCTCTTGGCCTGTCTAGCTGGAAAATCAGCTGGTGGTTGTTCAGGTATTTATTACTCAGCTCAGGTGGTCAGCGGTGGGGAACTTTTTAAGGGTTAGTCAAGTACTCAGATAGAAATCCTGGTGTATACAGAGATATTATGAGACCCTTTTTGTCAATTTTAGGTGCTGCTGGCGCACATTATTTACACTTTGTGCAATCCTTTTCCCATATCACCTAACCTTTCAAAGATTGTGCCCACATATTTTGGGGAGAGAATCCATTTTGTGTAACTTTTTGCCATATCATCTAACCTGTCATAAGACTGCTTTCTAGGAACATACCTTGCACTCAGTCATTTCCAAAGACTGTAAGTGGTTTCTAGACACCTGAAAGCAATGGATCGATGAGTCTTTATAATACTTAGATAGATTATAACACCTTCCCTTTTTTTCTTTTTCTTCTTTGACATGGTTATGAATGGAGATCAAACACTTACATTCTAGAGTGATAGCATTTTCCATTTTTAAATAACCTAAAGAAAATGAGATTTAACTATCACATATAGATGACATATTTTGATAAGTCCAGTTTAGCAAGTTCTTTGGCTTTGCAAATAAATAAATGATTGTTCATCATGTATATTTTTTGGTCTAAAACCACATATTTTCAGATGACTCTTTTCATTGAAATTCAGCTGATTTGATGTTTCAGGAAAAGAATTTATTTTCTTGTTTCTAGTGAAATTGACATTTCTGTCTGGTAGAATAAGTGAAGAGCAAATCGCTGCTACCTATCTTTAAATGTGATGTCTCTCAGTTCATTCATCATTAGTTCACCATATATTTCATGCATGTCTGCTACATGCCAGGCTGTGTATGTTGTTCACTTGGCTTTCCCTGTGTTAACATTTTCTGGGCAGGAGCTGGAGGGTTAGGATAGATGCCAGATGTAAAATTAGGATAGATGCCATTAATGTTTCTGATTTCTTTCCTTTATTTGTGCTTTCATGTACACGTGTGAGATGTACTACATCTAGCAGAAAACTTTGGGATGCATTTAAATGACCACATATTCCTTTTTAGACTGGCTGGTTAGAGTATCCAGATGAATTTAAAGTCATAGTGTATCTTAATTCTGTGCTTTGTATATTAGATATTTTTTCCCCTGGTTTCTTTGATTTTATTTATTCTGTGTGGTTAATTTCATATGTATATTTTCTGTTACAAGTAATACTTTAACATTGTTTTTGATAATTGTGGACTATAGGTAAATTTCTTATAAAAAATAGTGTACCGAATGTTAATCTCAGAAAGCTAGCACTATATGTTAGTTATATCAGCACACTGTGGTTATATTTTACTCACCAAATACTAAAGTTATTGCTAGTAGTTTAAACTTGCAAAGGAATTTCAGAGACTATCACTTTAAAAAGATCATATAACAGTCTTATTTTAGTTCAATGTTTTTCTATAATTTCTATAAAATGCCTTTTTCCAGCATTGATATTCTTTGAATTACCTTCACAAGTGTTTATATAGTGGGTTTGAATTTACTTCTGAATAATACTTGAAGTGAAAATTGGAATACTGGGTAAAAAGCCTATTTGTCATTTATCACTGATTTCTTAAGCTTTGGCATCATAAATATTGAGAACTACTCAGGATTCATCTGTTTGTCTAATTTCTTTTTCATACACTTTTCCTCTTAGTCTATTTGTATTCCCAACTTCCTTAAATGGTGCTCCAATTCAGCATTTTCCAAAGGCCACTCTGCAGCATACTAGAATATGAAATACAAAAAGTGTTCCATCACATCAGCACATCATGTTTAGCTGACCTTTGCGTCAAGGGTTAGAGCCCAGGGAGGAAGAAACCAAAATAGCTAACTCAGCTCCTCAGGTTTATTTGGTGATCAGTATTGAGAAGGTTGCTGTGACACATACTCAGATTATTGGTGGCAGATATTGAGTTAATCTTCTTTCTTTTGAAGAAAGAATATGGTTCTATAAAATGTTACAGATTTATATTTATTCATTTTGCTTTTGTTCAAAATATTATACCTTCTTTCTTCTGTGTTAATCAGGCCATTTTTGATTAATTAAGGCAAAGCAAACTTCACGTTCATAAAGGTGAGAAATCCTTATTGTCTTCTTAGGCTAAATTATTGTAAAACATGGGCTGTTAATCTGGGATTCCAAGCTCTGTGGCTGGGCTTTGGGGAGTCATTGATGTTCTTAGTAATTATTTGCCAAAGCTGGTATATGACTGTATTTCTCTAAGAATAATCTATTGGTATTTATTAGAAAACTGTGCCAAAAGCCAGTTACTCCTTTTGATAAGAATTTATGAATATTTTAACTGGGTGATGCAAATTAGTATGGTAGTTAAAAAATACCTGCCTTGTAAATCATATTAATCTAGAATATAGATAAAATACTCAATACTTTATTTTTGATCAGCTGCCCCATTTTCTTTTTCGTAATGGTATTCATATTTTCCTTTTTTGTTTTGTAGGGCTCAGATGCTTCTAGATCAGTACCGAAAGAAGTCAAAGCTTTTCCGTACTAAAGTTGTCCTGGCCCCGCTAGGAGATGATTTCCGCTATTGTGAACGCACAGAGTGGGATCAGCAGTTCAAGAATTATCAGCTACTTTTTGACTATATGAATTCTCAGCCAAAGTTTAATGTTAAGGTAATAAGGAAATATGTATTTATCATACTGTAATTGAGTTGAGCCTTCATTATTAAATGAGGTTAAACACAATATCCTTAGTCTCGTTGGCTTGCACCCCATTGTTTCCTAGAATATGTGGTTCTTATATACCAGTATAATTCATTAAGAGGAATGTTGCCTTGTGTTACAATTCCATTTCAAAAGTACCTTTCCTACCATTCCTTGAGGATTTAAGAGGTATCGCTTTTCTTTGATTGAGAATATGCACCTACTGAGTTGTGGTTTTCATTTTTCAGTGATGGCCTGTATTTCTACCCACAGAGAAAGTTTATTGTTTCTCTCTGACATTTGCATCCTCATGATTTAGTGGTGTGACTGGCAGATGTAGATGAACATGTCATGAATTTTGCAAATAATTTTCTTGTGTCTGGAGTATTGCTAGCATTTTTCATAGGTGAGGAAGACTTCTAAAATTAATCATTTGTCTGTGGTTCTCACTTTTTTTTTTAAACGTTTCTTGTGAAAAATTTAAAATATGCTCCCACATATTAAAAATAACACAATCCCTCACCTCAGCCCAATATCTATGGCTTAGCTACCATAATCATTAACTCAAGGCCACTCTTATTTTAGGACTGCCCTCTGCCATCTCCCTCCTACCACCAGGGTCATTTTGGAGTAAATTTCAGTCATCGTTTAATTTCATCTGTAACTAATTTGATATTATCTGTAAATGGTAGGAATTCAGTTTATAAATAAAATCATAATATCATTATAGCATATAAAAATTAACTAATTCTATAATATTATATAACCAGATAGATTCAAGCTTTTCTGATGTCATTAAAACTTCTTTTTAGAACATAGTTTGTTTAAGTCAAGATTTGAACAAGAGTCATATCCTGGTATCTGCCACTTTTCAAAAGTTCACTTTACGCCACTTTGCGTTTATGAAAGATCTACATTAGTACCTGTTTCTACTAACAGAAAGAAAGCCAAAGAGGTTTTTCACTTTTATGAAAAAAGTGAAAGGTAAAACGAGTGTTTGTTTTGCAGGGAGCTGTTAATTCTTTTGCAATCCATGGTGCATATAAGTGCCGCTTGCATTTTCTGACTGTGAGGTTTCTTGGAAGGTTTTTTCCCACATACAGCATGTGGTGTCAGGACAGGACTTGCATAACTGCATAAAGCAGAAGGAAGTTCATTGGTGACATTGCTGTGTTGAGAGGTTGTTGTATGAGTTAGTCTTTCCTGGAGGAGTGATTGTGTAAAACTTTTGTCTCTTTGTGCCTCTATACAGTGAGATAAGGCTTGTAAGTACATTTACAGTTTCCTGGGTGTTATTGGGAAAGCATGGTGTTGGGGATTAGATAATATTTAAGTGAATATTTTTTTCCTTGCCATAGCCCACCTATTCTATCACTAGAGTCCTTTCGAACATATGTGTCCAACATAATATTTATCAAAATCCATCATACTTAACAAAAATTTTAAAACACTCAATATTGAGCATGTATTACATTAGTGAAAAAACACAGTAAAATCTTACAAACAAAAATTAATTCTGTAATGGAAGGATATGAAAGAGATACCATGCACCCTGAACAACGAGAGTGACATCATCAAGGTCCTTCCCCTGGAATTTTACTCAGCATCAAGCCTCCATACCTTTGAATTGTGTCTGTGAACAACATATGTTGTGTTATTTTAAATTTATGTGTTTTTTGTTATCATCTAGTATATTATTCTTTAGGTCTGGGAATGCTAAAAGCTTTTTTTCTATATATATTAATGATACTTGTTCACTTTATGCCATTTTGGCCTATAAAAGTTTCTATACAAATGACCTGCTTTTAGATGGTGTGGGGAAACATGTATTGCAATTAGTCAATAAATTAAAAAAAAAAAATTTTAATTGTCATTTGGGTGAAAGTTTACAGAGTAAATTGGTTTTCCATTCAATAATTCATACACATTTTGTTTCATGTCATTCATTGCCATCCTTTGAAGTCTACTTTTAATGCATCCTAAATACTGTTAGAAAAATAGCTATCCAATTATCCAGTGTTGTTTTATTACACTCATATCCCATAATATTTGCAAGAGCTAGAACTCAGTGGGACTGCTTTATTTTCCAGGTCTCATCCATTTTCCACCTTTGACAGGGTGCAGTCTTACCACTTTTCTATCGTTCTCTGTTAGTGGAAAATACTTGCATTTTCCTTCTCTGACAGATTTCTGTCTTACACAGGTTCTAGCTTTCTGGAAAACTGTAGATCTGTGCAAGTACTGTAGAAAGGAAGTAATGTTACGGTATGAAAAATTAGAAAGCTGACAATGGACTGCATTGAGTGCAGTCAGAATTCAGGTTTATCAAATAGATAAAGTATCAAATTTGTTCAAGTTATTTACTTGAATTTCTGCTACATTATCATGTCTGAGCATAGAAACAGTGGTTAAATCATCTCTGTATTCTCCTAAAAAATGTACTTTATATGTGAAAATTTGATCAGAGGAGAGGATATCTATGTATCTGACCTGTAACTATAACTTACTGGCTCTGTTAGTTTCGTACGGCTGCTGTAATAAATTACCATAAACTAGGTGGCTTATAAGAGCAGGAACTTATTGTCTCAAAGTTCTAGAGATTGGGAGTCTGGCACCGGGAATTTGGTCATGGTGATTCCTCTGAGGCTTTGATGGAAAATCTGTTCCATGTGTCTCTCCTACCTTCTGATAGCTCCAGATACTTCTTGACTTATAACTGCAGCATGACATGGCATCCTTCATCTGTCTCCCTGTCTCTGTTGTCCTCTCTTTTTTTTATAAGGACACTAGTCACACCTGGTGCATAGATAACAGCCCAGTTTATAGACTGAGACAGACTAGGAAGAAGGAAGAGGCCGTCCACTTCTGAAAGAATTGGCCAGGGAAAACCTTATGAATAGCAAAGAAA